ACTACGGAGGAAATTGTGGTTTGCTTCCCGCGGCCCTACTCTCCACCTTCTAATCCAGGTGCTGGGCTTAGGGCTCCGAGAGAACCTTCCCACAGCAGGCAGGGCTCCTGTAGCTTCTTTTTCCTTTCCCTAAGAGGCCGGATGAGGGTGAGAACAAGACTGACAACCCCACATCTGTCCCTGCCCCCACGCAAAGTATCTTTTGTCAACCAAAAAGTTAAGGGCAGTCCCCTGCCAGCTCTGCTAACCTGGCGTTTTGAATTTTAACAAGATTAACGGAGAAGCAGGAGACAAAAAAGGATGCGTTTGGCCTCACCACCCAGAAAAACAAACAAAAAACTTCCCAAGATCCAACTGCAAATTTGAAAAGTGACGGTGAATTTCTGAGCTGAGAGGCCAAAGAGAGTTAGTGGGGCCGGGCTTCGCTTAGTTTTATTCTCCCTAGGCTCAACCAGCCCGAGCTTTCAGACAGAAGAAAACTGAAGCTAATGAAGATCTCAAACAGCCACAATTCGGAGGGCCCCTTTTCCGCCACAAGCACCCACTGTCCCATCTGCACGTGTAATCACAGACACTTGCCGTGTCTTCATCACCAGGGGATCCCAGGAAAGGGGAGAAAATTCTCTGTCGTGAAAAGGAACCTTGAGTTATCACTACTATTATTTGTGTATAGCGACCTAAGAGTTTCCTTGTCCTCTTCAAATTCCCCTACAATATTGAAACAGCATTTGTTGTCCCATTCTTACAAACGCTTGAGGCCTTTCTGGAAAACCATTACCATTCAATGGCTAGAAAATTGCTCTCCTTCCTTTAAAAAAAAAAAAAAAAAAAAAGGCAGGCGCAGAAGCAGCTACAACAGACAACAAAAACTTTCTCCTGCATAATCCTCACCCTCAGAATGACAAAGAAATGATATTGACTTACCCCCGAACGGATGATGTTTGAAAGGGGGTGGGGGGCCCTTTTTTTTTTTTTTTTTTTGAAGATTTCTGTTGAGGAGCTGCACAGACAGCTGCAATTCATGGGCGACGCTGATTGCCAGAAACGCTATGGATTGGCATGGGGTCTGCAGCTCACAGATCCCTGATCAATACCCCTACACTCACACGCCAGATGGTTTGGGGAGGGGCAAAAATAAAATAGTCCAAATCAACCCACCATTATGTTTTTGTGTGTGTATATTGCTCTGATAAACCTAGTTGTAGCATAAATGTGTTCTACCCTGACACAAAACCTGACAAGATTTCAAGCATTGGGGTAGAAATTAGCAGCCCTCCTCTACCCTAGATTTGGGTCGTGGTTACTGTTTTATACTAAAAACAAAGCTATTGGGCCCCTTATGCAGATTGGGTTTACTTGTAGTCTGTTTATCTTTTTCCGTGAATAATTTATAAAGTGTCTCTTTTAATTGAATGTTCACCTCTCTGTGTGTGTCTCTCTGTACCTAAAAACAATTTTAATGTGGAAAACACATATGAAAAACTCCGATAGTAAATATTTTTATTTTCCTACAATTGCTAACTCAAGTTCAGAATATTTTTTTTTCTTTTACAGTGCAATAGCCTACAATAGCCTTGTTGTCGAAGCTGCATTTTATTTTCATGCTTCTTTTGACCCATTTAAGTTTCTGATCTTCAAGAAAATTGGACCTGTGAATGTGGCATGCTAAGTAAAATCCAGGTCCTGATATAATGCTTGATATAACTGTTTGTCCAGATTCTAGTAGCCATGAACTAGCACTTATCATACCACATTTCTATACAGTGTGTTTGGAAATCAAATGCTGGTGGGGAGGGGGGAGAAGAGGAGTGTGACTTCAAATTAAAAGACAAAATTCCAAGTTGCAGAACTTCTGAAGGTTAAAGTATGGTTGCTAAACAAGGGGCAGTTAGAAAGCAACTTTCCCTTATATTTTCTTAAAGAACTATAGAGAAAGAAACATCAAAAATATTTCAAAAAATACTTAAAATTGTATTAGTATTGATACTCCAAAAATTGTCTTGAAGTAGAAAATAAATATTGTTCTTTTTTAGAAAGAAAGAGAAAAGGGCATCCAAACCTAATTCAGTAAAAATTAGGGTGCTCACTAAACAAGCACATCCATTTTCCTTTTAAATGGATTTTGGGTTGAAACATAAAACCTCAAACCACCATTAGAAAAACAACGTGAAAAATCTGCCTTAATTCTAGCCCAATGAAATTATACACAAAGAAGCCAATACGATTTCATGATTTCCCTGAGATCGCCAATATTGATCGAGGGAAGGCGGAGGGATGGTGGGAGTGAGGGAGGAGAGGGGGAGGAAGGAAGGAAGCGAGGCAGAGAGAAAATGCAACTCACCTTTCTGCTCCCAGGCACACCGAAATATAATTCCCAAGAGCAGGTTTATCTTGGTGTCCTAGCAAATAAGTTTAACATTTTGAAAATTTATTTAAATGGCAATTTATATACGTAGGTTTCTGTATGGAGGAAGCATCAGCTCAGGGTAACTGGCCACTCCTTGAGCCTGAAGCCAGCGTAACAGCAGAGGCTACCTTAGCACTGGGGCATATCAGACCCACTACTTCCCAGTTCTGCTTCTCTCCTGCTTCTCTCCCTGTGCACTCGTGGACCAAGAGCAGGTTGCACTCTCGTGAACTTTTGTTCGACTCAGTATTATATTTCAAACATTAACTAATTCAAATCATCCCAAGTGTCCAGCTGCCATATATAATAAGGTAGGGAGTGCGAAGAGAGACAGTAGGAGGGGTTGAGGAGGAGAGGAAAAACAGACAAACCAAAACCTGAGTTATTTTACCTGTCTCCTGTTGTGACACTAGAGATGTGAGCAACCAGAAAAGTATGTCTGGCAAACCAGGGGATCTGCCGCTTTCTTACTCAGGCTTTGATAACACAGAGAAGACGCTATTTGAAAGAATAATTGGCAGCGTATTGGCCAGAGCTCAATAAAGTTGATCTATGAATAACGTCACTGTAAATTCATGTGACAGGGTGGGGGTGGGGGTGTTGCTCTGAAGCTGGAAGAAAGAGGAGGGCGGCAGAAAAGGTCACTGAGACTAAGAACTGTTTTCCAAATGAATTAAATCTTTCTCTAGCACCAAGAAGGGACATACAGTATTCCGAGCTGTGCCCTTGTTTTCTTATCAAGTTTTCTCTAACAGCTGGAAGTGGTTGAAGGGGGCTGTCTTAAGGAGACCCCCTGCTCTTCTTTTGACAGCTGATCAAAAGAAAATAGGTCACGCTTCTCAAACTTATGTCCACCCTGTCCTTAATTACTGTCTCTTTAAACAAAGGCAACATCTGCGCAACCTCAGCTAGCTTGAATCTTCGGAGGCAAACAGAGCGCAACCTGCTTTGGAAGAATCTGTTACTTTTAAGGCTTTATGCCGGGGGGTTGGCCTCTCTGTCTTCAACCACCCCTCCACCCCTACTCGGGCTGCAGAAATCTCCAACTCCTCTGTCCCCCAGTTCCACTCCCACCTCCAGACCTGGGGTAGCTAAACAACGGAAATTCTAGGAAGACGTTGGTGCACTTTTTAAAGCCTTGGCTTGCAAGCGTGCTCGGGCTGGCCGGTTGCTGGCCTTTCCAGAAACAAGGTTTGAATATGCAGATGTCAGCCAGGACTCCTTTTCGTCTGCCCACCGCCGTTCCTCTCTCGGGATTCGAGAGAAGCGGGTGTGTGTGTGTGTGTGTGTGTGTGTGTGTAGTGTGTATTAGGAGAAAGGTCCGCGGGTGCCGTCCCAGCTGGTTTGCTTACTCTCTGCCCCCGGGAGAAGTTTGCTCACTACGGACACCAGCGACCCTCCTCACCTCCACCCCCCTAGTTCTACACTCTCCCCACTTCTTTCCAAGTCGCTGATGCAGAAAGCACTTGGTCACCTTGAAACGGCAGCTCCCGGAATTCTAGTTTTGTTTTGCAATCTAGCAGGGCTCTTCGGAAGCCTCATAACTGAGATTTATGGGCTCACCGGGTAATTAAATGATGTTATTGTGTTACCTTTGCATGCGTTACGGCTGCCCGCGCCGCCCGTGGGCCGCCGGCCGGTCGCAGCTCGCTGGCGGCGAGGGCGCTACAGTTCCTCTGGCCGCATAGATTATGCACGCCCCGGCCTCGGGAATTTACCGTGCATTAGAATACATTAGCGCCTGCATTTTAAAAGGCTAAACTAGTGGCTCCCAGCTAGGGACTCTCGGGAAGTGGCTTGTTAGCGACGAGTGTTCGTCTACACTGGCACATAGCGGAGTCTTTTGCTCCCGGCTTACTCGCCTCCAGGGAAGCTTTGGGGTGAGGCGAAGGCGACTGAAGCAATGCCCCTTCACCCAGATCGCAGCTGCCCAGGGGGGACACAGCGCGGCATCTTTCACCGAATCTCTCTCGCTCGCACTCCAGCCTCCCTCTCTCCAGCGACCCCCCCTTCCCTTCCCTCCCTCTCCTTGACGTTTGATTCCAGTAGCAAAGGAGGAAAAAAGGCACCGAGCCGTCAGCCAAACCTGAAAAGCGCCGCCCCGCCCCCTTCACAGCCATTGGTAGCTTCCCGTAGAAGGCCCGCCTCCGGGGGTAGATGCGGCCTTGGAGTGGCTGCGCGTGGCGCCCGTCGGGCGTGGCCCCGCCCCAGGTCCGGGAGGGTAGGTTGGCTGCCCCGGCGAGCGGCAGAGCCCTTCTGGACAGCTCCCGCTCACCCAAACAGAAGACGTCGGCGCCGGAGCGGGCTCGGACATGGCGAGGCTGCGCGCCGGCCCAAGCAGCGGGGCCCGGTGATCCCTCCCTCCCTCCTCGTCCCCTCCCCTCTCCCGCACACACGCCCCGTCCGCCCCCACCCCGCCCCCACCCCGGGCGAGCCCGCCCGCAGCCCCGGGGCGCACACCCGCACGCGCGCTCCACTCCACTCACTCCCGCACTCCCGCGCCCCCCCCGACTCCCGCGGCCGAGCCCCGCCACGCGCGCCTTGCCCGCCCGCCGGCCGCCCCCGCCGCCCCTGCAGCCCCAGGGCCCCGATGGACTGAATGAAGGCTGCCTACACCGCTTATCGATGCCTCACCAAAGACCTAGAAGGCTGCGCCATGAACCCGGAGCTGACAATGGAAAGTCTGGGCACTTTGCACGGGCCGGCCGGCGGCGGCAGTGGCGGGGGCGGCGGCGGGGGCGGCGGGGGCGGCGGCGGGGGCCCGGGCCATGAGCAGGAGCTGCTGGCCAGCCCCAGCCCCCACCACGCGGGCCGCGGCGCCGCTGGCTCGCTGCGGGGCCCTCCTCCGCCTCCGACCGCGCACCAGGAGCTGGGCACGGCGGCAGCGGCGGCAGCGGCGGCGTCGCGCTCGGCCATGGTCACCAGCATGGCCTCGATCCTGGACGGCGGCGACTACCGGCCCGAGCTCTCCATTCCGCTGCACCACGCCATGAGCATGTCCTGCGACTCGTCTCCGCCTGGCATGGGCATGAGCAACACCTACACCACGCTGACGCCGCTTCAGCCGCTGCCACCCATCTCCACCGTGTCTGACAAGTTCCACCACCCGCACCCGCACCACCATCCGCACCACCACCACCACCACCACCACCAGCGCCTGTCCGGCAACGTCAGCGGCAGCTTCACCCTCATGCGCGACGAGCGCGGGCTCCCGGCCATGAACAACCTCTACAGCCCCTACAAGGAGATGCCCGGCATGAGCCAGAGCCTGTCCCCGCTGGCCGCCACGCCGCTGGGCAACGGGCTAGGCGGCCTCCACAATGCGCAGCAGAGTCTGCCCAACTACGGTCCTCCGGGCCACGACAAAATGCTCAGCCCCAACTTCGACGCGCACCACACTGCCATGCTGACCCGCGGTGAGCAACACCTGTCCCGCGGCCTGGGCACCCCGCCTGCGGCCATGATGTCGCACCTCAACGGCCTGCACCACCCGGGCCACACTCAGTCTCACGGGCCGGTGCTGGCCCCCAGTCGCGAGCGGCCACCCTCATCCTCATCGGGCTCGCAGGTGGCCACGTCGGGCCAGCTGGAGGAGATCAACACCAAAGAGGTGGCCCAGCGCATCACCGCGGAGCTGAAGCGCTACAGTATCCCCCAGGCGATCTTCGCGCAGAGGGTGCTGTGCCGGTCTCAGGGGACTCTCTCCGACCTGCTCCGGAATCCAAAACCGTGGAGTAAACTCAAATCTGGCAGGGAGACCTTCCGCAGGATGTGGAAGTGGCTTCAGGAACCCGAGTTCCAGCGCATGTCCGCCTTACGCCTGGCAGGTAAGGCCGGGGCTAACCAGGGGCCAGGCTGCTAGGAAGAGGGCTCCTGGTCCGGTGCTTGTGGCCCAGGTCTGCCCCCCGAATCACTTATTTTGATTCTTTCCTTCTCTTTCCTATACACTTCCTCTTTCTTCTCGTTTTTAATTTCTTCTTCTATTTTCTCTTTCTCTTCTGCTCTTCCCCTACTTTCTCTTCTCCCTTTTCTTTTTCTTTCTTACTCTCTCCTTGTCCCTGAGCTTTCATTGACCGAGCCCGCCCCCGTTATATTCGCCCTCCTCTCAATGTGCCAACCTTTGCCCTCTGTCCGATCTTCCCAGGTACTGGAAGGCGGGATGGGCGTGTGCGTTTTCCTCTAGGAGGCCTGTCTTTCCAAGACTCACAAAAACCGGAACCTGCCCTTATTCAAAACCCTGTGCACTTCAAGTCTTTTTCAGACAACACGTTTCAATTTTCCGGGCTGGCTAGTCTCCCTGTGCAGAGGCAGTTGAGAGGCTTTGCTCTGCAGAGGGAAGAGAGCTCTCTACTCTCCCACCCACCATATAGGCAAACTTATTTGGTCATTGGCCAAAGGCACAGCCTTGCCCGCGCGGGGAACCGGCGGCCAGGATACAACAGCGCTCCTGGAGACCATCTCTGGCCTTGGCGTTGGGGCAGGGACACTCTGACCGGGCTTGAGGGGCTCGGGCCAGCTCCAATGTCACTACCTACAGCGAGGGCAGGGTGTAAGGTTGAGACGGTCACATTCACCGCTTTGGGAGGACATGGGAGAAGAGACTGAGGTGGAAAGTGCTTTGCCTTGCTCACCGGCCGCCCTTGCCCCGGTCCCAGCGTTTGCTGGGATTTGCCGGGGCTACGGGAGACACTGGGCGCTCGCGGAAAGAGGTGCCGAGAAATTAAAAATTCAGATTAGTTAATGCAGCCCGACCACGGGCTCCAGGCTCCGCCTTTGCATTAAGCGGGTGCTGATTGTGCGCGCCAGGCGACCGCGGGGAGGGCTGGCGGCCCGCGGGAGAGGACGGGTAGAGGCGCGGGTTACATTGTTCTGGAGCCGGCTCGGTTCTTTGTGCCTCCTCTAGCGGCCAAGCTGCGAGGTACAGCCCTCTATTGTTCTAGGAGCACAGAAACCTCCTGTGTGGGCGGCGGGTACGCGAGCTGGAGGGAAAGATGCGGTAGTTACTGCGGCTGGCACGCAGTTGCGCGCTTTTGTGCGCACGGACCCCGCGCGGTGTGCGTGGCGACTGCGCTACCTCTAGGAGCCAGCCACTGGCCCAGAGGGGCAAAATGTCCAGACGCCCCTCACTGGGGAGGACACACTATACCCTATTACAGGCCAGGGTGGGCGGCTTCTCATGGCCCGGGTGGAGGGGAGTATCTTTTAGGATTGGCGGGCAGTCTAGGGGAACAATTCGTGGTGGCGATGATTTGCATAGCACCGATCTTGGGATGCGCGCGGTTTCGAGCCGACCTCGCACAGCTCGCTTCCGGAGCTGCGAGCTCAGGTTTCTACCCCGGATCCCCAGGGCTTTCCTCGCACCACTGAGCCCAGCTTGTGGGGTGCACTCGACCGATGCCCGACAGGGCTGGGGAATGTGACAGGCAGCAGGTTCACCCCGGCTTGGGGAAGAGGCGTTTCCGCTTTGACAGCATTTTCCTTTGCCGGCTGCTGGTGGATTCCGATTCCCAGTCGGTAATCGCCCCGCAGTGTAGATCTAAGAAGGTAAAGAAAACCTGGTTTCCCTGCAAAGAGCCTCCCCCAAATTGGCGGACTCCGGATACTTTGAGTGGATTTAGAAATGTATGTAATCTTTCTCCTTTAGTTTATTTTTCATTCTCTCCTACAGTTTTCTCTGATTTGCTGTTGATTCGAGGCAAGATAAAGCAGCCAGTAGAGAGTAATAATAATAGCGGCGGGAAATAAACTGGAGGCTTACTGTTAGTTCTTAACATTGTAGTACCCCTTTGTCATAGATCCCCCCAAATGTCCCAGGCCCTTTCCAGTGGGTTTTAGCACCCGCCGGCTTCTTGGCACTGGGAACCAGAAGGATGGTCTTAGACGGGTACAGTTAAAGGCAGGATGACAGCTATTCTACTCCTGCTCATCTCAGAGCGCTGCCGCCCCCTCATGCCTGTCGCGCAGAGAACACAGCTTTTAAAAAACACGTGCCTTCTGCCCATATAGGTCTGAAAGTGATGTGGAAAGTAATGCTTCGCCTATTAGCGAGTTTCAGCTTTTAAAATGACCCCAAGCATTGCCGAGATGAGAAAGCGTGGCATCCCGGGGGTCTTCAGCCCCACCCGCGCCCGTGGTGCAAGTCTCCAGGGGCAGGCCCGGGAGAGCACTGCCCACGCCGCTAGATTTTCCGCAGAGAAGCTCTGAAACCGCCTTCGTGGGAGACAGAATGCCTCCTCCAGCGAGTGAAAAAGGCCTGCTGAGGACCCCGCTTTGCTCGAGCATTCAAATGTGTGTCTGTTTTATTACCCTGGGTTGAAAAGGGACAAGAGCTTTAGCCTTTTTATCTGGCCATTTTATCAGCAACTACAAGTGTGTTGAGTGGTTATTATTACATAGGAGGCTTTTCAGTTTGGGGTCAGTAGATCAGTCTCTTCAGACACTGAGGCAGAAGCTGGGACTGGTAAGTAGGTATTATGTGCTCGGAGTGCTAGGGGACAGGAGCAAATGGAGAAGAAAAGCGGAGCCTTTATCCGCCGGGAATATCGATCGGAATCCCGCCGGGACGCCGCAGAGGGCCCTCGCCGTTGGGCCTCGGGGGTTTAACAAGCCCAGCGGCTCCGCAGGCGGCTCGGCCGGACTCCCGTGCCTGGAAGACACAGTCCTTGCCCCGCTACCGCCAAACCTGCCTCTTCTGTTTCTCTCTCATAGGTTATAGGTTCCCTTTCTCTCTCATTTTGGCCCCGTCCCCGGGTCCTGCCAAACGGCCAAGCAGGCTGGGGTTTAGGGGGCTCAGAATGAAGAGGTCTGATTTGACCAGCGCACCCTTAGGCGAGGTACTGCCGGTCACAACAGAGGGAGGTCCTTCCTCCCCAACCTGCCGGTGTAGTCACAGCCAAGGGTGGCACTTGAAAGGGGAGAAAACTTCGAAGAAACTCAGATTGCCCCAACATTAGATTTCAGAGAAATTGACTCCAAATGCCCGGATTCGTTCGGAAAGGGCGGCTAGGTGGCAAGTGGTTGCAACGCCGCCAGGTCGGGCCTTCGCAGAGTTTCCCCAAGACTAGCCCTTGCAGGGCGGTTTTCAGCAACCTGACAAGAGGCGGCCAGGACAAATTTCCGCGGGTTCGAGCACACACTGTCAGGCGTTGGGCCCCAGAGACCTCTAAACCAAGCACAAACAAGAAGGGAGTGAGAGAACCCAGGCGAGAACTTGAACGGGCGTCCCACTGAGGAAAAGCGAGGCCTCTGTGGCAGGCATGGTTTCTTCTGACGCCCGAAAATCGAGCGGAGCGCCCAACTACATTTCCTGCAGAGGTTTCCGCCTCCAGTGAGCCCGGATCCCCCGGCGGCCTGCCGGAGGCTGGTCTCCAGTCCCCGCCATAGTCCGACGCACGGCCTTCTCCTGGCAGCAAGCTCCCAGCGGCCAGTCTGAAGCCAATTCTGTTCAGGCGGCCGAGGGCCCTTAGCCAACCCACCATGATGTCGCCTGGGCCACCTGACGCCCGCAGCGGTGGGACACGGCCCGGGCAGTGCTCAGTGGCTCCTGCTAGGGGCACCGCGTGCGTGCTTGTCTTCCCCTGCGCCGGGGACGTCCTTGGGTGACACGGGCCGCTGGGCACCTCCCAAGCCGAGGAAAGCGGACCCCCTTCGCAGAGTTTCGCGCCCACCCCCTAACCTCCCACCTCGTCTGTGGCTCTGTGGCTGCTCGGGCTCCCGACTCAGCCCACCTCTCCTGGCGGTTTAGTTAGGGATCCGAGCTGGAGAGGCTGAACTCAACCCTCGCCAGTACGGAACAGACGATGTGTTTGCCTGCTAGCTGCTTGGATGAATAATTGAAAAGTTCGCTGCAGTCTCTGCTTCGTCAAGTCCCGGGTGCCGGGAGAACACCTTCCCAACACGCATCAGGGTGGGCGGGAGCGGGCAGAGGAGGCGGGACCCGAGGGAGGAGAGTGAACACGAGCAGGAGAAGCAGCTGAGGCAACCAGGCGCCCTCGACGCGAGAGGCTGGGCATTTATTTTTATTCTAGGCTTTCCACTGTGTGGTTATGTCACTTTCTCAAACAAATGTGTATATGGAGGGAGATCGATGCTGATAATGTTTAGATGATTAAAAGAGCATTAATGCTGGCAACAATAACGTAAACGTGTGGACCCAGATTTCATTGATCTGGAACTTGATCCGGCGCGTTTCCAGTAAGCCCGACGGCGCGCTCTTCCCAGCAGAGCGCTCGCCAGCGCCACGGCCCCGCGGCTTTCCAGCGGAGCCGCTTGGCCAGCTCTGTGCGGGTTCTCCCGTGTGACCGCAGCTCCTCCCACGCGAGAGGCCCCAGCCCGTCTCTACTTCCCCGAGGTGTTCTCCTCCTCTCGCGGGGCTCCCATCCCTCTCCCCCCCCCCCCCGCCCCTGTGCGCACTCGCCGCTACTAGCGCTTCCGGCGGTCCCCCTGGGCGGCTGGATCCGCGAAGCCAATGCGTGGAACGGTGCCCGAGGCTTCCTAACTATCCTGTGCTTGGCCGTTGCCACTGGGCCCTTGTGACCAAGCCCAGGTTTGAAAATGACGTGGCTAAAGCTGCCTGCTAACGGCAGACCTTAGTCAGCCGCAGATCCCCTCCCATCCTCATCGGTTCTTGTACTAAAAAAGGCTCACGCGCAGACTTTTTACGCAGGTGCATTCGTTGGACAATTAAACGTGGCCCTAGTAACAAAAGCCTGAACTTCATCCCCCCGAATAGCAGGCTGTGCGCTGGGCTGGTCGGGTCTCACTGGGAGAATCTTGTGTCCTACCTTGGCTGGTACAGGAAGTAAGAGAAGCAAACTGGGGAACCCTT